TGCATCGGCAGGCGGACTCCCAACCACTGCGCCACCAGGGAAGCCCTGTGTTTAACTTTTTGAGAAGCTGTTAAACTGTTTTTTAAAGAAACATCACTTTATATTCTCTCGGGCAACCTGTGAGGGTTCCAGTTTCCACACTCACACCAACACTTGTTCTTGCTGCCCCTTGATCACAGGCATCCCAGTGGGCGTGAGCTGGTCTCTCATGATGGCCCGTGGTGTTCAGTATCTTTCCTGTGCTTTTTGGCCATTTGTGTGTCTTCTTGGAGAGATGTCTATTCATATCCTTTAACCACCATTTTTTAGTAGGGTTGTCTTTTTATTGAGTTGTAAGTGTTTCTTTGTATGTTCAGTCCCTTATCATACATATGATCTGCAGATATTTTCTCCCATTCTGTGGTTGTATTTCCACTTTCTTGATGGTTTCCTCTGAAGCACAAAAGTTTTTAATTTTGGTGAAGTCCAACCTTAGTCTCTTATTTCTTGTACTTTTGGTGTAGGATCTAAGAAATCATTGTTTATCCCAAGTTCAGAAAGATTTCCTCCCATGTTTTCTTCTAAGAGTTTTATAGTTTTAGCTTTTACATTTCAATCTATGATCTACTTCGAGGTAACTTTATGTATGGTGACAGGTGGCGGTCCAGATTCATTCTTTCCATGTGGTGCCCCTATGCCGTTCGTTGAGAAGACCCTTCTTTCCCCGTTGGATGGTCCTGGCACCCTTCTTGAAAATCTGCCAAGTTGATTTCTGGAGAGCTTACTTCTAGGCACTGTACCCGCAGCCTCCGCGGCTGTTGTCAGCGGGTCCCTTGCTGCTGACTTGGGCTCAGCCGCCCCTCCTTCCCGAGAGCAGCCAGGAAGCCGTGTGCGAGGACACACACTTAGGAGCGCAGCCGCCTCGTCGCTCTGTCACTTGGAGCTGCCTCTCCAGCTCTCAGCACAGTCGCACTCGTCTGGCTGCCCTCACAGCCCTTGCGGACCGTGCGGGCTCTGGCCGTGAGCTTCTCGGGCCAGGGCCTCTTCCATCGGCCCCTTTGGTGTTGCTGTTCTCTCCTTCAGAAGGGGGGCAGCCACGTGTGGGGGGCCCGGGCTGTGATCCCTTGTGCGGGCTTGGGGCCTTTGTCCCGGGTGGTGGGCAAGTGTGAACACGTGCGACTACCAGACAGGTCACGGAGAAAGAAGCATTATGGAGAAGGTTCAGTATGGACCTTTCCAAGGAACTCCTGTTAATTTTGCTAGTTGTGATAATGGCATTGTTTTTTGTTAAGAAAACGTCCGTACTGTTTAGTAACACATCCTGAAGTATATATGGGTGAAGTGACAGGTCTGGAATCTGCTTTAAAGTAGCCTGGGCAGATAAATCAATGTGGATCGATGGATGGCGGAGGCTCATGAAGCAGGATCTGACCGTGACTGTAGGTGATAGGCCCATGCAGGGTCACGGGCCGTCCTTCCTCCTCCTGAGATGCTTGCACGTGTTCTCGTTAGGAAGAGAGCTTAAGGCTCTTGAGGTGGGGCTTCCCGAGGGCATCATCTCTACAGGGAGTCAGCCGTCAGGGGCAGCGAACGCACAGCTCCTCCTCTGGGCCGTTCTCTCTCGAGTCTGTGGGCAGCACCGTGGTGGCCCCAAACAACATTTCTTCAGATGGCTTATGTCTCCTGTGCCCTTCTCTCTCCTTTCTCGCCCAGACCTTGTACAGTGTGAGAGCGGAGATATCGCCCCCTCCAGGGACAGAGCTCTGTAAGACGGGCTCGCTCTGCTCCTTGGAGGTGTCCATCACGCGGCTCTCGGACCTCTCGGACGCGGACAAGGATGAGGCGCTGACGGAACGTGAGGACTATTTTTCAACGAAGCTTATGTATGAAGGTGGGTCTAGAGGCTGCTTTCCACTGGCTGTTGTGCTCATACCTGCCATCCACAAAGTGTAGTGTTCCTCGTCTGAAGAGAGAACATTCTAGAATTGAAAGAGCACATTTGAATGTTCCAGTGTATGATATGGTCCTGGGCCCACAGGATGTTGAGCCTGGTTACTGTGCAGTCGTTCTCCTAACAGGCATTCGAACAGCCTTGGGGCTCAGGGCTGAGCACACAGCGGTGCCTAGAGCTGCCCTGTCCTGTCTACCCGTGAGTCAGGCCCATCCCCCCAGAGCAGAGCCCAGACCCCGTCGCTGAGCAGGCCAGGCGTCCTGTAGTCGTGCTCCTGCCCTTTCCCTCCAGCCTCCTTTCACTCCCTTTCCCCTCACCCGCCACCTGCACCCCAACGCTGACATGCCCGGGCCCTCCACCCTACCCGGTCTCTGCCAGACACCCCTTTGCAGCCCCCCTCCTGGGCCTGGGCTTCTTCAGAGTGGTTCTCAGGTTTTGGCGTCAGGACACTAATGCTCTCAAAGTAATTAAGGAGGCAAATACTTACTTACTTATTTTAAAATAATAGGGAAGCCATTACCTGATAATAGTCTCGAAAAAGAACTATTTTCCAGAACAGTAAGTAGAGCGAGAAGAGTGGTGTCTTGCAGCCTTTCAAATCTCTTTAGTGTCTGGCTCATGGGAGGTACTGAATTTTCCTGTCTGCTGCATTCAATCTGCTGATGTCCCGTACTGGTTAAGGTAGATGAAGAAACTCCAGTCTCGCACAGACTTGTAATTGGTAAAGGCAGCAACTCTCTTAACAGCCTTCAGATAACTGTGGATGTTCTCTGACACTCCACCAGAACTCAACAAGCGGTAGTTTCTGACAGGCTGGTTACAACGTGGAATCTGAAATCACATGAGTGAGCGTTTTGTGAAGAAGGGCCTTTACCCGGGCACGTTCTGTAGCCCCGCGCCTCCGTCATTTGCGAAACAACGGTTCCTGAATTGTGCAGCCCCTTTCGTTGTTCAGGGCCACAAACTTGTGCTGGCCTCAGGCTCACGCTGCGCCCATCACGAGAGTCTTGGAGTGCCGGGACCCTGCCAAGCTCACAGTGGCAAAGGCAGGTTTTCCAAAGTGCTGACTTTGATCAGAGTTTTGAACTGCACCATGGGCAACTTCTTTGAAGTGCCAGGCTCATGCCATCCATGTATAAGCAGGCGTCTGCCAGATGCCTGAGGCTGACAAGCTCGCTGGTGAGGCCCCAGCGAGCTCAGTGGCCTGGCGGCCCGTGCTGTGCCCAGGCCCGCTTCCCATGTTACAGGAAGCAGGGTGACGGGTGCACGGACCTCTCTCTACTGTTCTGCAAGTTCTTGCGAGTCTCTAATCATCTCAAAATTAAAGTTAAAAGAGAGATGTGTATGAAAGGGTTGAATTAATAAAATTAAATTGATTTTGACTGCTTCATGAGGGCATCCTGAACTGAAACCGGCGGGCTTTTCCTGCAAGTCTGTGGTAGCGAAGAACACAGTGCCTTGACTCTGAGTGCACGTGGGGCCCCAGCTCACACTCAGGCCCTCGCGTTCCCCACCAGAGGGCGCGTCAGCACTGAGGAAGGCAGGAACGTGCCCTCACAGGTGCCCTGAGGACCAGCTCGGAGAACCACTGCTCCGGTGTGCCCCTCCGCGATGCTGCTTTGGCTTCTGCCCGTCCTCCAAGGACCCCCGGCCCCACCTGTGGGAAGTTCGCCCTCTGCTACCCCTTCTTTGCTCTTGGAGCGTCTAGTCATGTGCTCCTGGGCTCTTGCTTTGTGTCTCACGGCAGGGATGCTCTGACCTCTGTGCAAGGTCACCTGCTGCTCGAGGACAAGCCACACCTGTCCTCCTTAACTTCTGAATGACTGCTCAGTTAGGTGTTTGAATCACGCTGAACGACATCCCAGTTGTGGTTTAAGTCAGTGTTCGTAATAGCACCTGCCGTATAGTAAGCCTCTCCGAGGTACGCGTAGAGAAACTAAGTGCTTTGCCTGCATCTTTTCTGCCCATCCCATCAGAGGCTTCTTTGGCAGAGTTGGGGTCAGACCCACCCCCAGAGGAGCCAGCTTCCCTGCCCCGCCCCCATTCTGCAGCCGGAGCGACCGTGCTCTTGAAGCGTCACACGGCGCTTTCAAAGGGGATTTGAGTGCAGGATTGAATCACTGCTCATTTATTAACTGGAGGAGGAAAAAGTGATTTTTCCCTGTGCACCCAAGCTGTATCTTCCTTATTAAATCAGATGTGTTTTATTTTGAGGTGCAGTTACAAGGCATCGAGATACAGAGTATACGCTCCGGTTCTGGACTTCTCATTGTGGAGTGTGAGACTGTTGATGTTTCTTATTTTGGTGTGAACACTGAGGGTCCTTTTTTGGGGTGAGAACGGTGCTTTCCCTCTTTGTTTCAGTTGTCGACAACAGCAGCAATTGGGCAGTGTGCGGGAAGAGTTCTGGGGTCATCTCCATGCCTGTGGCTGCTCGGGCCACTCACAGAGTCCACATGGAGGTGATGCCCCTCTTTGCGGGTTACCTGCCCCTCCCCGACGTCAGGCTGTTTAAATACCTGCCCCATCACTCTGCGCACTCGTCACAACTGGATGCTGGTAAGGACTCTGCGGTGAAGGCACCGCCCGTGTGGGAGGGGCAGCTCCGTGCGGAGCGGCCACAGCCTAGCATGGGGGCAGGCTTGCTGCTTAACAGCCCGTGTCCAGGGCCAAACACTAGTCAGGGCTACACGTCTTGAGCCCTGGTCTGGAGAGCAATCCGCCCACGACCCAGGCACTAGATTCTCTTCAAAGGTGAGGCCGCCTTTGACATCCTTGTGCCTTGAAGGGCGTCCTTGTGCCCTGAAGGGCGACTCGGGAGGCTGGCGGCTCCCAGGGGTGGGGAGAGGTCGGCGCGGGGCGGCCTCCATCTCACTTCCTGTGCGCTTTGCAGATAGCTGGATAGAAAATGACAGCCTCTCGGTGGACAAGCACGTGGACGACCAGCTGGACAGCGGCAGCGTCCAGAGCAGGGGCAGCACACGCTCGGTGGCCAGCAGCGAGCACAAGGGCTTGCCCATGCCCCGGCTCCGGGCACTGCCCCCTGGCCAGGCCTTCAATGCCAGCGCGGGCACGCAGGTCCTGGTCATCCCCAGCCAAGACGACCATGTTCTCGAAGTCAGCGTCACGTGACCACGCCCAGGGCTTACAGTCCCCAGACCGGCTGTGCGCACGTGCGTGCGTGGGCACGCTTGAAGGGATCCTGACTCGATTGTAACTTTCTCGCTCTAACCAGACTTTTGGTGATTCTGCCTGGCCGTGGACGCATCAGAGAATTTCAGTGTACAGCTGGTCAGCTGAGTTGCATCGTTACTTGTGTGCTGTCTGGGGTGTAAGATGCCTTGTTATTTTCTCATCGCCCCGTGCCTGTGCTGCTGTCCTCCCGTGTTTGCCCGGAGCCCTGCCTTTTCCCTCACCCTCTGCTCAGGGAAGAGCTTCTAGTGCTCTCACCTGAGCAGCCTGTCATCTGCTTGTTCTCTGTGGAAGCCCAGGGCTCTTTCAGGTAGACGCGCAGCAGCCCTTGCAGGCTTATCAGTGACATGTGTGTGCCTTTCTGGTCACACGGCTGCCCGATTTCTGGACCAGGTGGATTTGTATGTCTCCTAATGGGTAAAACACAGTCCTTTACCCCAGATCCTCTAGTTAGTTGTGCTTTTTTAGAATAACAGCCTTTCTGGGCAGCGGGGTGGCGCTGGGGGGGGGGGCGGTGGGGAAAGAACAAAACCCCTTCTGTGCCTTGGGATGTCAAACTGGGCGGACTTGGAGCATTCATCAGCTGGAGCCATTTTAAAGGTACTTGAAGACTAGACCACTAGACCGGGGCATGAGAAAGAACTCGGTGTTGAAATAATTTGGAAGTAAATGTTTCTGGAACCCTTTCTCCCTTCTCCCCCGATGTGGATTAGGTATTATGTGCACATGGAATTAAATATATATTTATTTTAATTGTCATAAGTGTCTGTGGGGGTTAGTACGTTGTCTTTCTCTCACCTTTAAACTTAGTCTTTACATGTAACTGTAACTGTATGATGAATATTTTTCTTTTGCACCTTAAGTCTCAGAAATTAGGAGGTTCCATATAAATGACGATTAGAGGGGTCTTCTCAGTGTATTTCTAGTCTGGTTGTAGGAAGGACGAAAATCTTGGACTGTTATTCTCTGCTGTCCACTACATTGCAGTCATACCACGCAAATGGATTACTTTGCTCTAGGTTGTACATTTAATTGTACGTATGGTCGATTTATTATTTTTAAAAGTACAAACTAACTGATGTAATGTTTAAGTTGCACCAAAAATCAAGGACAAAATAAACGTGTGTTTGTTTTTATTGGTGTGAAAGTCACAGCTTGTAAATAAGTGTTGTATGTATTAAACCTTTTCCAGCTCTCCAAAGCGATGTATTTTTGTACATAAGAAATAGAGAACTCTTAATTCACTGGGAAAGTGTGCTTGGAATTGAACTTGACCAGATTAATGCGAGTGTAGCCGGTCCAGCAGAGGGTGGGGGCCTCATGAATAACCTCAGGCGTGTGAGCGGTAGGGAAGAAGGAGCCTCTTCTGCAGCAGCTGCCACTGTCCTGGCACGTCTGCCACTTGCTGGAGGTGTGGGGCAGGCAGGCGCAGGGCAAAGTGCACATAGAGCAGAGCAGCTGCTTTCTGTGCGCGGTCCTTAGCTCGCTTAGCAAATGAAGGTGGTGATCCCCGCCCCACCCCCCATGGTTTTCATTTGTAGAAATTGGAGAAGTGTACAAAGAAGATAAATGCTTGTATGTTTAATTAAAGTTTTCAGAAATTTACCTTCCTTATGTACAGTTTAATAAACTAGGCAAATTAGAAGTTCAGAAGCTAATGATAGTTTAGGGTTTCTAACGTAAGTTTGTTTTATTGTAAAAATTGATGATTGCCCTACAGATCCACCAAGCCTTGTGAATGAAGAGATCTTTGATATTTGATTCTGTCAGAAAAGCCTCTCATCCACGTGGTGAGCGTCGGAGCCCAGGGAAGGCGCCCTTGCTTCGTGTGTAATGGAGCGTTCCGTCTCACCTTCTGGAGGGGGAATGTGAGTCAGTGCTTCCCTGATTTTTGGTTGACTTTTGTGCTGGGTTCTGACCCCAGGATGAAATTTTCTAACTACTTAACATATTTAGAGGAGAAAAAAAATGGAGGGGAAATCCAGAATGTTTATGGTAGTTTCTTATGTCTGGAAATTGAATGAAGTCAAATTTATCGCAGGTTTGTTTTTTACCCCCTGATTACCCAAAAGATCTTTTGCAGTCTAAGTTACGTGGGTGCCTCTGTTGTTGTTTTTAACAGAAATGAAGAATGTCACCTAAAACTTCGTCTTTTTTTTTTTTTTTTTTTTTGACTAAAAGGCTGTAATTGGATTTTTGTTTTGTTTAAAATAAGGCTTATGTGTTTGAGGCAAGCTAAGCCGGTTTTGTTGGTAAAGGTGTAGCAACTGTTAAACAATTGTGAAGCCAGGTACTGAATGTGCATCTAAGAAGCAGAATATGCAGCCATTTTACAAATATCTGTGGAAGATGTAAATAGTAGCAAATGAAAAAGAAAATAAGTTATGATTTTGGTGAATTTCATAGG